CGCTGGTACAAGATGCAGCACAGCAAAAGCGTATATAAGACCAGCTTTGAACAGGAACAATCTTCAAGTCAGCATAAACAGTCATGTAACAAAGGTAGTATAATAAGTTAAGCAAAAATTCAACGTTTAGCCTTTACATCTTTTAAAATTTTGCTCTTATTCGTACAATAAACTAGAGGCTCTAAAGAGCCTGTGTCGCTCACCTTGGTCTTAGTACATATTCAGTGGCGGATCCAGAGGGGGGCGTAGAGGGCGTACGCCCCCCCCCCCTTTTGCTTGAACTTTTTTTTTTTTTTTTTGTAAAATGATGAATCAGACTAGACTTCGTGAACTTTGCCATTTCCCGGTCGTGTAATTATTATTATGCGACAATTCTTTACTTATAAAGATATTTTTCGCTCGTATTTACTGTTATATATTATTGATTATGTCAGTCATATGTTTCGCTACGGTGGAGCTGATCAGTACGTTTGAAACGTCACTCAGTCATTTTGAAATTCAAATTACAGTAACACATTGCTTAGGGGGAGGATGACAAGCATGGCGCCTTCAAACGACAAAGGATTGAGCAAGAACGTATTGACTTCTATTTCATATTTCCACTCAACAGAAAGTAATACTCGATTACACTCTCATGAAAAAAAAAGTTCTACAGCAATATTATTTACCTACGAAAATATGTTTAACCCCACACGCCCCAGCCAATTAATAACATTGCTGAATAATGATCCCCAGTCAGTAAGCTCTAGATATATTTAAAGTCTAAGGTACGGACCATTTGATTTGATAGGGCAGTCTGAGATATTTTAGAGAAAAAATTCTTACCCTGAATTTTGCCTTAAACAAAAATTCTATCCGTATCTGTAATGAAAACAATTATCGTGTCTCCTTTTTTGCTATAAGAAAAAAAAAATCCAACAGAATTATTCAGCATTAAATGAACATGATGAATAAAAAACGGGCGTAATTTTTTTTTTTTTTTTTTTTTAGGGGGGGGGGGGGGGTTGCATGTAAATCTCATATCTGACCGGAATGTCTGTTTCGCCGAACTGATATACTGAATACTTTTTTCAAGGCCCAACTGCAACCTGCCTGGTGGGTGTGGCTTTATGTCTCCATTTGTCGACCGTCATTCACAACTTCGTTGTCATTTGATTTTCAGACTTATTCGTAGCCGTTGGTTGATTTGAAACCCCTCACTTCCCTTGTTGAGTGAAACATTTCAACCAAACATTTGGATAAAAATTGCTTGTTTGTCTTTGTTCGTGTCGGTCGTATTATAAACTTCATTGAATAGCCGTATATCATGTTTACAACAAGTAATCTGTGAGGTTATGCTAACTAACCATACAACAAACGAGAATTTTCCATGTCCATTTTTTACTGACAAATCCCACATCAAATATATAAGTACATAGCTTTAGATCCATTCAATCATTTTATAATAGACAACTAATGGGGAGAATGCGGCATCACAAATGTCCAACCCAAGCTTACCGGCACTTTAACTATAAAATATACATACCCCACGTTAGGAACCGTCACTAAAAATGTGCATTTTAAACTTATTTTATGTTTTGTAGCCCAAAAAAGGTCCCAAAAAATTTTCGCCGAGCGGAGCGAGGCGAATTTTACGTACTACGCCCCCCCTTTCCAAAATCCTGGATCCGCCCCTGATATTCAACAAAGGACACTCCCCAACATTGTAGACGAAATAGAATTCATGACAAAAATATCTGTTTTGATGACCTTATATTGCTGATCATTTAGTCTGTTTAGTTTCTCTCTATCTTCTTTAGTTTTTGCTCAAAACATAAGAGGTAAAAAAAAAATCCTCATTTAAGGGCAATCACTCCTATAAAGCGTGACATTCTACTAACTATATCGGCAAAATTTGACTTTTAAGTAGATCTTGCCTTGCTGATCATTTTTGTGATTTAAAATGTCTATTTATCTATTATAATTTTCATCTTATAAGGCAAAACGCAAAAAAATGGTAAAAAACGTCATTAAAGGGCAATAACTCCAATAAGGAGATGTTGGACGATTTCCTCCATATTGTCTTAATTGCAGATCTTGTCTTGCTGATCATTTTTGCTTATTTAAGTTTCTATCTATTATTATTATTCTTAAGATATAAGGAAAAAACGCAAAAAATTGGTAAAAATCGTCATCAAAGAGCAATAACTTTAATAAGGAGTCGATTGACGATTTCAAAGATGCAGACTTATAAGTAGATCTTGTCTTGCTGATAATGTTTTGCAGTTTCTCTCTTTCTATGATAGTTTTCAAGATAATAGGCACAAATGAAAAAAATGGTAAAATTTGTCATTTAAGGGCAATAACTCCCATGAGAAGTCGTCTGATAGTTTTGACGTAAATAGACAATTGGTAGAGCTCAACGTTCTTAACATTTCTGCTTCTATCAGATTTTCTCTATTTGTAATGGTTTTCAAAAAATAGACAAAACTTGCATTTTATCCCTATGTTCTATTTTTAGCCATGTTGGCCATCTAAGTTGGCAGGCGGGGTCATCGGACACATTTTTAAAACTAGATACCCCAATGATGATTGTGGCCAAGATTGGTTACATTAGGCCCTGTAGTTTCAGAGGAGAAGATTTTTGTATCAGTTAACGGACTACGACGACGGAAGACGGACGCCAAGTGATGAGAAAAGCTCACTTGCCCCTTTGGGCCAGGTGAGCTTAAAATGAAGTTATCCTCGCATGCAGTACTGAAAAGATATTAATTTTGGAAAGTACTCATTAAACCTTTCGTATTTTCTCATGATAGATACATTGCTATTTTAATTTAGTTCAAATGTATACCAGTGACACTCACCGATTTGTTTGTGTGTGAAAAAGATCTTTTCTTTTCCCCCCAAGTTTTTTGTATATCCCACTTAGTGCTCTTGGTGACTCTATAAAAAACTCATCATTGATACAACGCTTATAATTAGGTACGGCAGACGCTCGTTTCGTCTACATATAAGAAGCATCTATAAAGGTGCTAAGAAGCTATGGATATAAAGAAAGCATCTTCTAAAACCAATGCCACAAACCAAATGAATCTTAATTCAAATAAAGACTTCCTGTAAGATGTGTTCTACATCGTTTCAACCTAAGAATTCAATTGTTTACAGATTAAAATAGAAAACAACAGAGCTGTTGGAGTAGTATTCATGAAAGATGGAAAAATAAAGACTGTTGCTGCTACAAAGGAAATTATTCTGTCAGCCGGAGCTATTGGATCTGCACAGCTTCTGATGTTGTCTGGTGTCGGACCACGAGAACATCTAGAAGAGTTAAAGGTAAATAACCCATGTGTCTGAAGATGACGAAGATTACATTTGTTTCAAAGGTAAAGAATATTCAATGTGTTTGAATATCGTGTGATGTTGTCAGATGTCCGACCGTATCAGCATGTTAATGCCATACACAAGAACATGCGAAGATACTTGCATGATTTATTTTCATATAAACTCTTAAACGTTGAATGTTCGAGTATCTTACACAGTGTGTAGCTTACAATTGCTCGTGTCCTGACATAAATTATTTTAGAGTCCCTTTCTTAATGGATTAAATAAAACGATTTATTATTATATCTTCTAGTTGCTAGACTATAGGTAGAAATCATAACGTTTGTTTATCCAATTAAAACATAGGTACATCAAATTGTCCGTATTCTATAATTTTAGATCGATGTGAAGAAAGACTTGCCAGTTGGTAACAACTTAAAGGACCATTTACTTATCGTTATGTCTTATAAGTTGAATGTATCCTGGGCAGTAAATCAGGACAAATTGAACAATGCTGAGGAACAGGAAAAATACATACTCAACAAAAAGGGTAATCATTGAATATAAAAATAAGAAGATGTGGTATGATTGCCAATGAGACAACTCTCCATAAGAGACCAAATGACAAAGAAATTAACAACTAGCTTTATTTTATGATTTTGGTTTGCTATAAAGCGAAATGCTTGTTATGTTCTACTTTACTGTTAACAAAAAGTTTGAAAAAACATAACTTGAAGAAAGACCATAGTCAAAATATAATTAAATGCTCCGCTGGGGCGCAGCTTGATACGACCGCAGAGGTCGAACCCTGAACAGTTGGGGCAAGTATGGACACAACTTTCAAGCTTGATACAGCACTGAATTTGGATTGTAATTAAATATTTGACACAGCATAGGTCTCTGACACAGAATGAATGTGGTCTAAGAACTTAAAACATTTTAATTTACCTATTCAAACCATATCATTATTATTTGCTTTTATATATAAATCAGAAATAACCAATTTAAAATGGAAAATTTTAAAGAAAAAAAAGGGAAAAAAAATCCCCCCCCCCTCCAAATTTTTTGAACCCCCTTATGATTCATCACCCCCAAACTCAATCCCAGCCTTCCCTTTGTGGTATGGTACCTTGCAGTACAATTTCAGAGAGATCCATACACTTGAACACAAGTTATTGTCTGGAAACTAGAAAAATGCTTGTTTTTTGGCCCCTTTTTGGCCCCAAATTCCTAAACGTTTAGGGCAATTACCCCCAAACTCAAACCCAGCTTTCCCTTTGTGATATGGAACCTTGTAGTACAATTACATAAAGATCAATACACTTACACACAAGTTATTGTCCTGAAACTAGAAAAATGCTTGTTTTTTTGCCCCTTTATGGCCCCTAATTCCTAAAATTTTGAGGCAATTACCCCCAAAACCAATCCCAGCCTTCCCTTTGTAGTATGGTACCTTGCAGTACAATTTCAGAGAGATCCATACACTTGAACACAAGTAATTGTCTGGAAACTAAAAAAATGCTTATTTTTGGCCCCTTATTCCTAAACGTTTTGGGCAACTACCCCCAAACTCAATTCCAGCTTTCCCTTTGAATAATGGAACCTTGTTGTACAATTTCATAAAGATCCATACACTTACACACAAGTTATTGTCATGAAACTAGAAAAATGCTTGTTTTTTGCCCCTTTTTGGCCCTTAATTCTTAAAATTTGGAGGCAATTACCCCCAAAATCAATCCCAGCATTCCCTTTGTGATATGGAACCTTGTGGTACAATGTCAGAGAGATCCATACACTTACACACAAGTTATTGTCATGAAACTAGAAAAATGCTTGTTTTTTGCCCTTTTTGCCCCCTAATTCCTAAAATTTGAAGGCAATTACCCCCAAAATCAATCCTAGCATTCCCTTTGTAATATGGAACCTTGTGGTACAATGTCGGAGAGATCCATACACTAACACACAAGTTATGTCTGGAAGTTACAAAATGCTTATTTTTCGCCCCTTTTTGGCCCTTATTTCCTTAACTGTTGGTACCATAACCCCCAAAATCAATCCCCACCTTCCTTTTGTAGTATTGAACCTTATGGTAAAATTTCATAGAGATCCATTCACTTAAACTAAAGTTAGAGTGCGAAAACCAATGTGTCTTCGGACGACGACGACGACGACGCCAACGTCATACCAATATACGACCGCAAACTTTTTTTGCGGTCGTATAAAAAACGACATGACATACAACAAACAACGAAACACTAAACAGAAAACGAAAGATTTTAAAACACGAATCCTAACAAAACTGGAACGAACTCCTTTAACTCTTGAAAGGTCAGTAGTTCTTGCTCCTCTAGAGCCACCCGTGATGTTCCTCAGATTAAAATCAGGTAAGTTATTCCACTGCAAAAAAAAGATGAAATGTTACACCATATTTAGAAACAACTATTTCAGAAAAATCGGTGTGTTTGAGTGTTTAACACCAGTATTATATATCACATATGTGTGATTTAACACTAACTTTTAAAACACTTAAAAGTGTTGGTTTTGTGAACGTTTACTCGAGAATACGTAAATAAGTATTTTTGACCCGATTCCGTGCCATATATCACGGACTGTACACCTTACGCAGCGGTTACACTAATTCAACACTTATTTGATTTTATTTGATATTTAGATTCGTTTTTACTATAAATTAAACATGAAAAATCTTCGATGATAATTTTTGACTTTTTTCTGTAGTTTGAGTAAGAATAATGTTCTTGGGTAGGGTGACAAGTATTCCTGTGGACTTTTACCATGCGATCTAGAACATTAATATTCCGGTCTAACACTAAACAGTGTTCATATTCTAACAAAAATTTTAATGTTTTGATATTCTAAATGTACAACATCTCAGTGAAAATTGATGAATTTGGCAAAATATTCACATGAAATCATCTATTCTCGTCCTGATATGCCTTAAATACTTGCCACTGGAACACATGGCCTTAACCATTCAATTTATAAACGAGTCCTTGCATATTTTTTCTCCTTTTACAAAGATAATCAATTCAATGTACTGGCTTTATATTTGATTTAAAAAATAGATATTTTCTGTAATACTTATATCAGCAATTACAGACTAAAGCATTAACTCACTTTCGAACAAGGTAGTAATATGAGCTCTTCTCTTTTTTTTTTTTGAGTCTTTAGCAAAATGTTCCACAATTTCCACATATTTTTCCCGTTTCCATATATTGCATTATGATTTTCCCTTAGTTATTTGAAAACTGCTAACCATGTAAATTAAATAGGAACGTGTTCAGTTTTATTTTGTTGTTTTTTCAATGAATTATCTAATAAACAGAAGATTGATTATTTTAGAAATTCCCTGAATGAAATCAGTGAGTCTGTAAAAAAAATCTTAATAATTTCAGGGATTTTGTAAAAATCAGGGATTATATAAAATCACTAATCAGTTCAGTGATTTTACAAAACTCCTGAAAATTCTGGGATTTTTCAAAATCCATGATTTTACAAATTCACTTGATTCCGCGCCATAGTGATAAGATTTATACTTTTTTTGCGCATATTTTGAATCTATTTATTCGTCTTTGACTTCCAGAATCTTGACTGAGATCCTTTTATACATGTGACCTATTGAGCATTTTAATGGTTGTGTAGAATATTTTACAAATCAGTGTTTTGGTCGAGAAAGGAGGTTCAAGATTGATTTCAAAGATCTTCTTTTCGTTTGTTGTCCATTTAATTTGATTTATTGAACTTTGTTTTTACTTCACTTTTGGAATGTTTTCATTTGTCTTGTAGAAACTTTGTATCCTACGTGTTTGAACTTTCATTTGTCTGGTGAACCTTTTTTTTCATGGAAAGGTTATTTGTCGTTTCGATTGATGCTACGTGCTCGGTGGAGAAGCAGCCAATACCAATTAATGTTTTGACCAATTAAGCTGGGAATCTAGCCCATGATGATGACTTCACACACTGAAGGAGGGCACGCAACCAAGGAAGCAGGTTGTCAATAATCTTTTTACCTACTGATTATATGCCAGTTAATCTACTCGACACTTGATAGTGATATCTACTTAAAGAAACATTAAAATCTATTGATTAAAGTAAATGGTTTCCAGTGCAAAGTGACGCTGGTCAATATAAATCAAGTCACATAAGTTTTTTTTATGTTGTTTAGACCAAATATCGATCTTATTGCCTTGTTTTAAATAATCAACTTTAAAAATTTGAATTATACAGGAATATACAGTGGCACAGGATGTGATGCACTCTTGTTTGCACAGACAGGGAAGGAGTCTCATGATAGAGGATCCCCAGATGTTGAAGTTCATTTCTTCAGTAGTGCACCAGAAGAGGAACAGTTACGAAATGGCTTGGATCAAAACATCAAGAATGAAGTATTACGATATAAACTAGAAATTATCAGATTAATAACAAATCTAAATGAAAATCGTGGAGATTTTGTTTGGCACCAGTTAGGTCTGTTAAAATTTGAATTTCTTCCGTATGTACAAGGCCTATATTTTCATTTTTAGTATTACATTCATTTTTAAGTTTCACTGAAAGGCTAAACTTTTGAAATTGTGAATAAAAGATTTAGTATGCCAAAGAATTTACTTTTAGTATTCTTATGTGGATATGTTACTGTGACTTGACTGTTAGTGTTGCTCTCCACCCAGTGCAACTTATTCAAACTTCTGACCAAATTGCAATTTGTTTTACAAAACCAAACTGTTCAACTGGTCAGAAATTTGAACAAACTGCTGTAGAAAACCACAGTCAAGTCGTGAAAGTGCAAGGTGATAAAATAAAGCATACTTACAATCCTATAAGACTTTTAATTCCACTTCAATGTTATTATGAAAAATTGGTCTAATAGTTTGTATAGAAATTTTATTGTTATTGTAACATTTGAATTAAAACATTTTATATTCAGTAAAATATGTGTGAAATTACAATATGTTGTTAATAAGTTTCCATGGGAGATAACCTAAAACATTTTTCTTTTGAATGTAGAAGACTTTTCGAAAGCAAAATTGATTATCTCCCATGGAAACTTCCTAACAACGTATTGTAATTTCACACATATTTTACTGAATATAAAATGTTTTAATTCAAATGATGTCTGATTCTTATAAATATAGAAGACTTTTCGAAAGAAAAATTGTATAAAAGCTTAGTTTGGACATTTTTATAAATTCAAAAAAATTCAAAATTACTACCTATCACCTTTAGCATGACAATAACAACAACAATTTCTATACAAACTGTTAGACTGATTTTTCTTAATAACATTGGAGTGGAATTAAAGTATTATAGGATTGTAAGTATGCATTATTTTATCACCTTGCACTTTCACAACTTGATTGGTTTTCTACAGCAGTTTGTTCAAATTTCTGACTAGTTGAACAGGTTGGGTTTATAAAACAAATTGCAATTTGGTCAGAGTTTTAAATAAGTTGCAATAGGTGGAGAGCAACACTTACAGTCAAGTGACTCAAGTCACAGTAACTTGTTTTCAATGAATCTGACAGGTCATCCTCCCTCAATTAATGCTACAATTTTTGTTGTTATCTGTTAAATAATCATAGCACATTGTTTCAGGCACTGAGACATTTCCACTTGTCTTGTTTATACCATAACATTTCTGTTGATAGCTCTTGGATAAAATGGTGGCTGATGCTTCTTCCACTGGCATCAGGTTTCTACCTGTATATTTACACCCAAAAAGTCAGGGCACAATAAGACTCAAGAGCAAAGACCCCTTTGATTATCCAGCTCTAGACCCAAATTACCTTGCACACCAAGATGACGTGGATGGGTTTGTGAGAGGTAAGATTTTTTTCTGTATAAAAGCAATATTTTGCAACTTTCATAGTTGATGTCCTTTCGCTTTACTGTAAAATCGTGTATTTTCTTATTTAAGAAGTGACCATCTTACAATTATTTTGAGTACATCATTTATACAATCAATACCACTTTTTCTTAATTGTTGTTTAGGCTGGGCATGTTCTAAGGACTTTGCATGTAATTTTTCAAAATAAAAACAAAATAAAACGTGTTGATAATGGCTTATATGTTTCAAGCTGCCAGGGTGGTTCAGAAAATAGCAAGCAGTACAGCTATGCAGAAGATTGGAGCTATATTGATACCACGTGTGTATGAAGGTTTCTGTGATGATGTGGAGTTTGACAGTGATGACTACTGGAGATGTTACACAAAGAATCTGGCCTCATCAGCATTCCATTATTCCTGTACATGTAGAATGGGTTCTGCTAACGACCCAACAGCAGTGGTTGATCCACAACTTAGGTAAAGTAGATCATGTGTCCATTTTTAGCTCACCGGGCCCGAAGGGCCCCATGTGAGCTTATGCCATCACTTGGCGTCCGTCGTCGTCTGTCGTTGTCGTCGTAAACTATTTAAAAAATCTTCTCCTCTGAAACTACTGGGCCAAATACCTTCAAACTTTTACAAAATGTTTCTTAGGGTATCTAGTTTATAAATTGTATCCGAAGTTTTGATCCATCGACAAACATGGCCGCCATGGCTAAATATAGAACATAGGGGTCAAATGCAGTTTTTTGCTTATATCTCAAAAACTAAAGCTTTTAGAGCAAATTTGACATGGGGTAAAATTGTTCAATTGGTCAAGATCTATCAGCTCTGAAATTTTCAGATGAATCGAACAACCCATAGTTGGGTTGCTGCCACCAAATTGGTAGTTTTAACAAAATTTTGCAGTTTTTTGTTATTATTTTGAATATTATTATAGATATATATAAACTGTAAGCAGCAATAATGTTCAGCAAAGTAAGATCTACAAAAAAGTTAATATGACCTTAATTGTCAATTGACCCCTTAAGGAGTTATTGCCCTTTAAAGACAATTTTACACAATTTGTTCATCAAGTTTGCTAACATTTAAAAATCTTCTCCTCTGAAACTGCTAGGCCAATTACCTTCAAACTTTAACTAAATGTTCCTTAGGGTATCTTGTTTATAAATTGTATCCAAAGTTTGTATCCATCGACAAACATGGCCGCCATGGCTAAAAATAGAACATAAGGGTCAAATGCAGTTTTTGGCTTATATCTCAAAAACTAAATCTTTTAGAGCAAATGTGACTGGTAAAAATTGTTTAATAGGTCAAGATCTATCGTCCCTGAAATTTTCAGACGAATCCAACAACCCATTGTTGGGTTGCTGCCACCGAATTGGTATTTTTACCAAAATTTTGCAGTTTTTTGTTATTATTTTGAATATTATTATAGATATATATAAACTGTAAGCAGCAATAATGTTCAGCAAAGTAAGATCTACAAAAAAGTTAATATGACCTTAATTGTCAATTGACCCCTTAAGGAGTTATTGCCCTTTAAAGACAATTTTACACAATTTGTTCATCAAGTTTGCTAGCATTTAAAAATCTTCTCCTCTGAAACTACTGGGCCAATTACCTTCAAACTTTAACTAAATGTTCCTTAGGGTATCTTGTTTATAAATTGTATCCGAAGTTTGTTTCCATCGACAAACATGGCTGCCATGGCTAAAAATAGAACATGGGGGTCAAATGCAGTTTTTGGCTTATATCTCAAAAACTAAATCCTTTAGAGCAAATGTGACATGGGGTAAAATTGTTTAATTGGTCAAGATCTTGGACCCTGAAATTATCAGACGAATCGAACAACCCATTGTTGGGTTGCTGCCACTGAATTGGTAGTTTTTAACAAAATTTTGCAGTTTTTTGTTATTATTTTGAATATTATTATAGATATACATAAACTGTAAGCAGCAATAATGTTATTCAAAGTAAGATCTACAAAAAAGTTTATATGACCAAAATTGTCAATTGACCCCTTAAGGAGTTATTGCCCTTTAAAGACAATTTTACACAATTTGTTCATCAAGTTTGCTAACATTTAAAAATCTTCTCTGAAATACAGGTGAGCGATTCAGGATCTTGAGAGCCTCTTGTTAGTATCAGCATTCAGCACCCTAATGGTTAATAACTATTATGTAAACTATCTGCCTGATCTGAGAGCTGCTTGATAAAACTCCATGTTACCTTTTGAACTTTGCTGAAACTTCTTTGTTAGAACATAATCCTTACAAAGTTTTCAATATTTGTTTTAATTATGTTTCTGTAAGATGTTGAATTTCAGATGTGATATTGATTTTACTTTAAGAAAGATATATACCACTATGTCACTATAACTCTTAAATAAAAAATATTGATATTGTCTCTTTAATAATGTGTGCTGCAGTTTATTTTATGCATCAAAGATTAGCAAATACTGTATTTGTGTTGTCCTATTTAAGAGTGTTTTTTGCCCAACAGCTTCTATACAACATTATTGTATTTTCATTATCATTATCAGGGTGAAAGGTATATTAGGCTTGAGGGTTGCAGATGCCTCTGTTATGAGAGATATAGTATCTGGCAATACTCACACACCAGTGGTTATGATAGCGGAGAAGGCAGCTGACATGATTAGAGGGAGGACTACAATAGGCTAATAACACATAATTAACACTTATATTATATATTATGTTGTGAATTATCTTATTCATAATTATTAAATGATAAAAATACATGAAATTGTCTTCCTCTTTTAGTACATTACAATAAAGCAGCAGTGCTTTCACTTTGTCTATTTTTATATGCCTACATGTGGAACAAGAGTGTGCAAGGCTGAAAGGACAGTTACCTCAATAATATTTGAACAGTTATTTGTTAATGCCCTGCAATGAGACAAATACTTATTGTAAATATTTATATTTTCCCTGAAATCAAACTGCCTCAGCATTTCAATGAGGTTCATGAAAAGGAGGTGAAATCAAACTGCCCCAGCACTTCAATGAGGTTCATGAAAAGGTGGTATGTGCATGAATGAATGGGAAATAAATTAGCCATTTCACAATGAAAAAAAAATAGAGGCTCAAAAATCTCTGTTTTGTTGATCTTGTACTGCTGATCATTTAGTCTGTTAAGTTTCTCTCTACTTCTTTAGTTTTTGCTCAAAACACAAAAGAGGGTAAAAAAAATTCCCCATTTAAAGGCAATCACTCTTTAAAGAGTGACAGTCTACTAACTATATCGGCAAAATTTGACTTGTTAGTAGATCTTGCCTTGCTGATAATTTTTGTGATTTAAAGTGTCTATTCATCTATTGTAATTTTTATCATATAAGGCAAAATGCAAAAAAAAAATGGTAAAAATCGTCATTAAAGGGCAATAACTTGAATAAGGACATGTCGGACGATTTCCTCCATATTGTCTTAATTGTAGATCTTGTCTTGTTCATCTTTTTTGCTAATTTTAGTTCTATCTGTCTATTATAATTTTTAAGATATAAGACAATAACGCAAAAAATTGGTAACAATCGTAATCAAAGGGCAATAACTCTAATAAGGAGTCAACTGACAATATTGAATATGCAGACTTATTTGTAAATTTGTCTTGCTGATCATTTTTGCAATTAAAGTTTATCTCTTATCTAGTATAGTTTTCAAGATAATAGGCAAAAATGAAAAAAAAAATGGTAAAATTTGTCATTTAAGGGCAATGACTCCTATAAGAAGTCGTCTGACAGTTTTGATGTGTACAGACAATTGGTAGAGCTCAACACTTTGAACATTTGTACTCCTCAGATTTTCTCTATTAATAACGGTTTTCAAAATAATAGACAAAACTTGCATTTTACCCATATGTTCTATTTTTAGCCATGTCAGCCAGTTTGGTTGGCAGGCGGGGTCATCAGACACATTTTTATACAACCGGAAAAAATTATTGTGGTCGTATATTGGTATCACGTCGTCGTTCGAAGACATTTGGTTTCCAGACAATAACTTTAGTTTAAGTGTATGGATCTCTATGAAATTAAACCAAAAGGTTCAATACCACAAAAGGAAGGTTGGGATTGTTTTTGGGGGTGATGGTCCCAACTGTTAAGGAATTAGGGGCCAAAAAAAGCATTTTTCTAGTTTCAGGACAATAACTTGTGTATAAGTATTTTGAATGATCTGAAATTGTACCACAAGGTTCAATACCACAAGTAGAAGGTTGGGATTCATTGTGGGAGTAATTGCCCAAACTGTTCAGGAATTAGGGGCCAAAAAGGGTCTAAGACAAGCATTTTTCTAGTTTTCAGACAATAACAATAACTTGTGTTTAGATATCTCTTTTTACAAAAAGAAAATTTCTTCAAAATTATTTTTTTTGGAAAAGGGGGGGGGGGGGTAAATTTTTTTTTTGGGGGGAGGGGGTGTCAATTTTTTTCCCCTCAAGATTTAAGAAATTGTCAATTTTGCAAAAAAAAAATTGGGGGTCACAATTTATTTTGCTAATTCTTTGTATATAGTATGAAAACAGATTTACTAAGTATTGCGCAACAGCACAGTGTATTGCACAACAGCAAGAAATCTTCAATTGAATATAAATTCAAATCATACAACCAATTTCAAGTTCTTTGACTACATTTATTCTGTGTCAGAAACCTATAATGTGTCAAATATTTAATTACAATCCAAATTCAGACCTGTATCAAGCTTGAATATTGTGTCCATTTTTGCCCTAACTGTTCAGGGTTGGACCTCTGCGGTCGTATCCAGCTGCGCTCGGCGAAGCAGTTTACTTAAACTAGATACACCAATGATGATTGTGGCTAAGTTTGGTTAAATTTGGTCCAGTAGTTTCATAGAAGATTTTTGTAAAAGTTAACGGACAGCGACAACAACAGACGTCAAGTGATGATTAAAGCTCACTTGGCACTTTGGGCAAGGTGAGCTAAAAAGGAGCTTACACAGTGCTTATTTACAAATTTGCACACAAACACAGTAAATAATGAGCTTTAAGCAAGAAAACATGTGAAATAAAAATTGCAAACACACTGCACAAAAATAGCCCTTTCCTAACAGCTTCATTATACTGTTTACCCTTAGAAATAATGAATATGAACAAAGCAGATGTGGATTATACATCAATGAGAAAGCAACCAAATGATTCAAAAATAAAAAAATCCATAGTTTAAAATATGGTACCCAAAATCAAAAGGGGGAACGTTAAAATAAAAAACTAAAGGCTCTTAAAAGCCTGTATGGCTCACTTAGGTCTATATGCATCTTCAACAATGGACCCTCTCCAAAATTGTAGACTAGAATAGAATTCATGGCAAAAATATTTTTTGTTGATCTTGTATTGCTGATCATTTTTTTCTGTCTACAGTTTCTCTCTATCTTCTTTAGTTTTTGTGCAAAACACAAAAGAGGGTAAAAAAATCTTCATTTAAAGGCAATCACTCCTATAAAGACTCTAATAACTATTTCTGCAAAATTTGAGTTCTTTGTAGATCCAGCTGATCATTTTTGTTCATCCTTTGGGTCAGGTTAGCTTAAAATATTTTGACCATAACCCTGCAACATATTCTTGTGTCTGCCGCAAATCAGTGGTTGTCTATGTAATATCTGATGTTTTTATTATTTGTAGAATTTGGTGTTGGTTATCTTTGATAATTTCTGTTTACTATTTTATATTCAGGATGATCAAGAGCTTGACATATTGTATAAAGTCATGTCTATTGTTGAAGACTGTAAAATGCATATTACATATAAACCATATTTGTTCATTACATGAAACCATTTGGATAATATAAAAACCCTATATGGCAAATGACATTTCATTGTAGGAAGCAAACAATCAATAAATATTTTCCTCTTTAATTGTCTACCTAAAAACATATTGTGAGTCTCTTTGATCAAATTTATGTACACGCACAACATTAATTGTATATCAGCTCTTTAATTTCAATTTTGGTAACTTTATATTCATCAATCTGACATCATCCCTTCTGTCTATTCCAAAAGGAAACCTGAAATTTTAATAAGAATATTAATGATGATATGAATATGAACCCTGCTTTGTACTAGACAGACACACTGAGCTGGGTTTTTAACTTGGTAGTTCAGAAGGTAATAGAACAGGGGAAGACAAGTCACACTAACTGGACACATTATCCAATCTTTGATCTTACTCTGAAATGCCACATGCTTATATACCAATGTTCCAGTCTCATTTGACCCAGCTGGAAACAAAACCAAGACCTCTCATGTCTTTGGATTGAAAGAGAATGGGCACACCAAAATAACTTTTATTTGCTGGAATTATGTGTAAGAAAGCTTCTCTAAAATTTGTTATTTTGCTGCAACCAATGTTTTCACCAAGGAATATGGATAGAAAACCTTAAAATAAAATCAGCAGCATTTTTCTTCAATATTGGCACAATCGTTACTATGACTTCATTAGTTTGTAAGTCGTCATGTCTAATTCATTCATATATTTTTTTATTTTTATTAATTTCCCCAATATTCATGACATTATGAGCAAATTTGAAGTAGTTCTCAAAAAGTCAATTTTCTTGTGATGAAATGGGTTTTGATGCCTTTTCTTTTACTCCATTTGAGTGACATTTCAATGAGTTGAACTAAATCTACTGACTGTACACTAAACAAGGTAATTATTTTTTCTTTTCTGTCAAAATATTTAAAGGATTAAATGCCTTCAACACCTTATTTTACAATACACCTATGCTGAATTCTAGATATCTTTTGGTTGTTTGTGTTTTGCTGTCTAATTGATGTATACCACATATCTCCTTTAAATCATATGACTCCTATATTACCTGTTCTGCATTTAGTATTATTTAACTTTAACACAAGAATAAAGTGAAACCAAATCAAGTGTAGTCTGTGCAAAAACTTTTATACCAACTAGCCGGATGCTCATTTAAAGATAATATGTCTAAACAATTTTTGAAAAATTTTCACTCGCCTGAAACTATTTGTACTAGTCAAAGGCTAAGGGCTACGGCTTGGGCTAGAGGGGTTTGGCACAGACTTCAAATGTACTCATTTCAGGCCACATAATACTGTTATATTACTTGCTCCTTCGGTATACAAAATTTAACAGCAGGTAATTTATCAAAATAGAAAAACAAAGGATATGGGATATGTACATATTTTGATAATTCATAATCAATGCAAGATCAATAACCAGATGATACCCTCAAGGACAAATAGATCGCCAGGAAAGTTTCTAAGTGAAATGTATATATCTGGATTAACATGTATTGTATAATAGCATGTCCTCAAACTGATCATGCTGCATAATATGCATTTTGTTTTAGTTACTATGACCTTGACCTCAGATTTAATAATCTCAAAACTGAAGGGATCTTTATCTCATTATATATGACCATTTATCCAAGTAAGGTTGCAATTCAATAAAAAGTATTTGATTTAGCATCCAAAAACCACATTCCTGCACAAATTTCAAAAAATAATTTTTTGTCATTATGACCTTGACTTTAGACATAGTATTCTTAAAATCTAATAGATCGTCCTCTCATTTTATGTGACCATATATCCAAGTAAGTCTGCAATCTGATATAAACTACTTGATTTAAATTCCAGAAACCCAGATTTTATCAACAGACAGGTTAAAAACTATATACCCTTGCTACATCATAGTGTGGGGTTTAAATATGAGACAGGATTCTCCAGTTAACGTGTAGACAGTTTCTTATATTACATATTCTTACTTTGGTTCAAATCGAACAGACATTGGATCCTCTGCTATTCCTTTTCCTGCCATCAGTTTCTCCATACCATTCCTTAAACATATAAACATACTTTTAATTCTCTCACAAAAGAGATAACAGAAAGGGTATAGTATCAATACAAAGTGTCTGTGGAGTGTACTTCCAATGCCATCATTGGGTCATCTCCAGCTGGCCTACATGATATATATTTAAAGATATTCAATTTCATTGGACAAATGTCATGTTATGTTGAATGGCAGGTATGTAACAAACACCTTTTTAATGATATATCTTATAACTAGTAGGTAGATAAAAAATATTGAAATTGTATCAAAAGATTTCAGTCAGGTTTTGTTCATTCAAGTTCATGTCTCTATATATATATACCGTATTAATACGTTTTTAGAAAATATTCTGACATACCAAGCTATCATTATACCATTGTCTGTACATAGATGAGGAGGAGGACAAATTAACTGACAGGAAAACATATCACAGACTTGTGTTAAGCCTCTCCTGATATACTGGTTACTGGCCACACCACCTGAAGCTACCTACAATAGAAATCATATCACAGACTTTTGTAAAGCCTTTCCTGATATACTGGTTACTGGCCACACCACCTGAAGCTACCTACAATAGAAATCATATCACAGACTTTTGTTAAGCCTCTCCTGATATACTAGTTACTGGCCATACCACCTGAAGCTACCTACAAAAGAAAACATATCACAGACCTGTGTTAGGCCTCTCCTGATATACTGGTTACTGGCCACACCACCTGAAGCTACCTACAATAGAAATCATATCACAGACTTGTGTTAGGCCTCTCCTGATATACTGGTTACTGGCCACACCACCTGAAGCTACCAATACAATAGAAAACGTATCACAGACTTGTGTTAGGCCTTTCCAGATATACTGGTTACTGGCCGCACCACCTAAAGCTACATACAATAGAAATCATATCACAGTCTTGTGTTAGGCCTCACCTGATATACTGGTTACTGGCCACACCACCTGAAGCTACCTACAATAGAAATCATATCACAGACTTGTGTTAGGCCTCTCCTGATATACTAGTTACTGGCCACACCACCTTAAGCTACCAATACAATAGAAATCATATCACAGACTTGTGTTAGGCCTTTCCTGATATACTGGTTACTGGCCACACCACCTGAAGCTACCTACAATAGAAATCATATCACAGTCTTGTGATAGGGCCTCTCCTGATATACTGGTTACTGGCCACACCACCTGAAAATACCTAAAATAGAAAACATATCACAGACTTGTGTTAGGCCTCTCCTGATATACTGGTTACTGGCCACACCACCTGAAGCTACCTACAATAGAAAACATATCACAGACTTGTGTTAAGCCTCTCCTGATATACTGGTTACTGGCCACACCACCCGAAGCTACCTACAATAGAATCATATCAAAGACTTGTGTTAGTCCTCTCCTGATATACTGGTTACTGGCCACAACACCTGAAGCTACCAATACAATAGAAATCATATCACAGACTTGTGTTAAGCCTCTCCTGATATACTGGTTACTGGCCACACCACCTGAAGCTACCTACAATAGAAATCATATCACAGACTTGTGTTAAGCCTCTCCTGATATACTGGTTACTGGCCACACCACCCGAAGCTACCTACAATAGAAATCATATCACAGACTTGTGTTAAGCCTCTCCTGATATACTGGTTACTGGCCACACCACCTGAAGCTACCAATTCAATAGAAATCATATCACAGACTTTTGTTAGGCCTCTCCTGATATACTGGTTTCTGGCCACACCATCTGAAGCTACCTACAATAGAAAACATAGTATACACTTTTGACAAATCTCATTCCTCTGGTTAAACCACTCAAAAATTAAAAATTAGAACTCAGTTATATTTGAAACTGTCCACACCACCTAGGTATCTATCATATAATACAAATCAAAGAATTACTCCAGACCTCTGATATACTGAAATATATTGAAATCATATTATAGACTTGCGTCAGTCTGATCTCTGATACTTATAACATTGTGAATCACCTGAAGTAACCTGAAAATAAAAATCATATTATAGACTTGTGTCAGTCTGATCTCTGATATTTATAACACTGTGAAGCACCTGAAGTAACCTGAAAATAAAAATCATATTATAGACTTGTGTCAGTCTGATCTCTGATACTTATAACATTGTGAAGCACCTGAAGTAACCTGAAAATAAAAATCATATTATAGACGTGTGTTATATCTTTGATTTACTGATTACATTGCTTAGCACTTGAAGCTATCTACACACGAGGCTCCTAACAGCCTGAATCACTCACCATGTAAAAAATATGCCATTTTGATAGGTCTTATTTAGTGGCATTTTTGTTGGTCTTGTATTAATGATCATTTTTACTTTTTACAGTTTATATGTTATTGAGATAAAAAAAAAAACATCATTTAATGGCAATAAATCCTTTAACTATTGTGACAATTTGGCAATGTTGACTTACTTGTAGACTTTTTTTGCTGGTCTATTTTGCTTTTAAAAATTCTCCTATAGTTTTGACAAAAATGCAAAATGGATAAAAATCTAGGCAGGGAAGCTAAGAAAATTATGAGAGTTGGTCCTAATTGGAGCCTTAGAGCTCTGGAACTGTAAGCTTACTACCAAAATCAGTATTGTATGAAGAAATATGAAATTTCTCTGTAGGATTTTAGTGTTTAACATTTCCATTACGTATAACATACTTTTACAAAGAAAAAAAAACAATTCAAACATAAATTACCAATACTCTTTTCTGTTCCGGCAACAAGCCTTTTAACTCGGAGTACATAAAGGCCCTCTGTAACTTCCTACATAAAGTATATGTCATAGCATACTGTAAAGCTGCACACACATCGGACACATTTGATAGTAGCTGGCCTTCAGGTAGGTCTGAAAAATACAACACCATTTAGATAAACAGTGTTCAAATTCTTAAAAGTGATACATTCAACTTTAAGTTTTAAATTCCAAAGAGTCAAAGGGATTAATCATTTAGAAACAAATTATTTTCTTTCCTGCATAAAGATGACAAAATGCACCAAGAACAACCTTAATCCATCAAAATAAGCCAAATTCCTATGAAATTCTTTGCGTGTTTGTGTGGTTAATAACAGTTGGGACCAAAATAGTCTAAAACTGTGAGTGAACTCACAAAAGGAGACCCCTTGCACTGTAATTCAGTACAATGTATATTGAAGTAAGTAAATTCAATTATCTCCCCTTTATATACTTAATTCACTTTTGTTTGCCGTATTATATAATATAAGTTTGTTTCCTTTCAACTCTATCAGAACAAAACTGTTTTGTTTGAGGGGGATGAGGGGTGCAAATCAGTAATTTCCAGAAAAACTAGAGGGCAATGTAGCAATTATCTGAAGGGATTGGATTTTGGTTTTGTTCTGATCTTTTAACAATGAATATCCATGGTTATAGAGACACGAGCAGTAAATTTCTCAAATGAAATTATTTTTCGCCCATTTTCACTGGCACCACAAATTCAGATTACATGACAAAAAAAAATTATGAGGGGAAACAGACAATTTTTTAATTGTGCTTCAGTATGGATAGTATTTAATCAATCACATAACAAAGATCAAACATTTGAGGGGACCTGTTGATTACAAAATATCTAAGAAATTAAAAAATCTCTATAATGATTGGTAGAAATGTTACCTTGTCTTGTTGCTTCATCATGAATCAATCTTTTGAAGTATGTCTTCAGACCAGTAAATGAGAAGTCACAATCTCTATAATGGGTCATTACATGTGGTACAGGAAATGATAATGGATTCCCATTTTCAGCCAGCATTTCTATAGCACCACCACCAGATAGACCTTCACATTGTGGCAAATTCTTCAGACATAGGCTTCTAGCTGTCTAACACAAATAAAAGTCTTTTCAAATGAATAGATGTTTAGTACAATTACCAGTAAATCCTTTTGATGTTAATTAATAAAATCTTTTTGATGAAAGAGATGAGTAAACAACTTGCATCTATTAAATCTCACACAATAGTCTTTGTGACAGATTTATTTAGTTTGATTAATTCACAATTGCCCAAGACTTTCACATATTGTTATCTCTAGACATCTTTTGACATTTTGTGTTATCAAATTTATGTATACACCCAAATCTCCATTTTTTTTGCATTACTATTTGTTAACTCTACATATAACTATCAACTGCATTCCGTGAGAATGTTCACTGTACATAGCTAAAAAAATAGCTGTACCTAGTGATCACAGATACACATGCAATTATAAATGTATTTCTAAATATCATTTTTTAAAAGAACCCAAAAAATGTATTTCGAAGAAAAGTATAAATTATTCTTAGATTTCTCTCAATTTTTGAAATTTAAAAATATTTTCAAAATTTAAACCAACATGATGCATTCTTATAAATTCTGCAAGATATCCAAGGTGGTTGCCCTTAAAAACTAAGTCTGCCCTAACAGTTTATTAATACAATTAAATACAACATTAATATAGCTTTAACAATACTATGCATTTTTTGTATGAATACACATAATAAATGTAATAGTTTTACCTTGTCAATGCAGTCTCCTGGAGCCTCATCCAGACTTGTACCTAACATATCAAAATCATCAATATCATTAGCTACAGCCAGCAGACAATGCCCTCCGCTCATCAGGAAAACAAGATACGGAAAATCAACCCTACAAAATCATCAATATCATATTATACTATAGTACAAATACTCTAAAACAAGTCTGAGTATATCATCAATTGACCTTTGACAAACTTCAGTACTCATCAGTAAGTTAATCTTGAATACATTTTGTCCTGTTTTATCTGTTATTTCATTGTCTTTGATATATTGATCAGGGTTAATTTTATACCGCCACATACAGTGTGTACATGTGCCATATCAGGCATGAAAATAAAAAACAAAACAAAACATCTTACTGGGATGCTTGTTCTCACAAGCAACGAAGATTCTTAATATAATCCATGATGAAAGGTGAAAATATTTTGCCGAGATGACTATTTTTTAAATGTTAATTTCATTTGCTGCTAATAAAAGTGAATGAACTGAAAGAAAAGGTGTAAGCTGAAAGTCATGACCAGCTATCCCATATTATCCAAAATATGTTCAAAATAAATATTTAGGCTATCTAATTCATTTGCAAGAAATTCATAGAAAAGGTTCTTTCTCAGCATCTTGTGAATTTTAAAACAGCTCTATGTAAATTTTTAAACTCCCAGAGTAAAAAGTTATGAAAAAGGTAAAAAAAAAAATCCCTTCTAATTTATAGAAATGAGTGTAAGTTACATGCTTGATTTTCAGTCTTGTGCTTTTGGAACAAGTGTGGTCTCAAACTTACTTCTTTAGTAATCTGACTGTCAAAGCATGAGCCTCCATATGGTGTATTGGTATCATTGGTTTACTGAAATACAGCAAGCATTGGGTAAGTTTTAATGTAAATCATAAACAAAACTAAACAATAGATCTCTAGATTTCTGGTTTATTGCAATACTTTCTTCACATTTATACAACTTCATATTTTCAGAAGTATTTGTCATTTTTTAATTTTCAGATACTTTTTTGTTGTTTCAGTTTCATTTTTATAAGTAATATGGCACAACCTAACAGGGAAAAGGCAACATTTTCATGGTCACGACAAGAGACTGTAAAAAAAAAATGTAACATAAAATAATTAAACCAACACAAAGGAGGTTATTTTCTGATCTCCATGATCAGGCTGACAGGCAGTTTGTTGATTCTGACTGAATATTCTCACTCTCTCTCTGATGAATTAAATTGTTTCTGTCAGGTACAAGTTAATTGTTACCAAGTCTCATTTTCATCATCACCTAAAGTACACAGCGATAGTAACCCATAAATTGATGCTTTCAATTTACCATGTTCCAAGAGTTAAACCTGCAATGTTGGCATTATTTACTTGTGTGTTAGTTGTTTTGTTGAACTGTTTTTTTTTAAAGTGCTGTATTTGACCCATACTTTCTGTATAATGTTATAGTTTAACAAGTAAATATCTAATAATAACATATTGGTCAGCATCAAGTAAACGCTTCAGTGAACAGAGCTATTATCTTCGTATATATTATATGTAATGACTGATGATATGATATCAGAACCATACATAGGAAATAATGTAAATAAAAATAATTGTGTAATACAGATTAAAGCAAAGGAAATATCTAATACAAATGTAATAACAAATGTATCAATTTCACTATCAGCACTTATCCAACAACATGTGATCCTATACTAACATATTCATTGATCGGGTATAAAAAATCCAGTGTCAGACCATTCGTATATAATTTTTTTCCCCTTCTTGACTTGTTTCCCCATTTCATTACTTATTTAACTTTAAGCCAATAGAATCTTAGCCACAACTATAAGCAACCAATTAGAACTGACTGTTGTTTAGTAATAATTTCAAGATGGCGTGTATATCGATTGAATGTAATAGATAAGCCCACTGATGCAAAGCAAAATATAATGGAGTTAAATGTTAACAAAGAACTGAATTAAATTGAGTGAAAATATGGGTTTTTCACACTGAAAAGCTGCAACACAAAAGACCCTTCCAATTTTGCTAAATTGCAATTTTTTTTATGTCACACTGTACCCTGAAATTGATCCACATATGTTAAAATTTTTAGCTTTGAAATAAGCAATCAATCATGTTCAAATCAAGTTAAAGATATGCACAGAGGAATTGATGCTACTATTACTCCAAACCTGAAATGATTGTGTTTATTGATCCAGATTTAGACTTTGATACACAAAAAAAAAATCAAAGTGCTTGTAAGCACTGAGGGGTAACGATTGCTTTAATTTATCAATAGGAAGTAAAATTAAACATTGAATTGTATGAAGCATTGGTTGTTGTTGATTCAACTACAATTATGGACAAAGGAAGATAACTCCAATTTTAAAGATTACTTTAACAATGACATCATTGATATTTTTAGAACAGATATTATATTCCTGCACCTTGCTCAAGATACTGTGGATTCATTTATTTTCGTGGGTATCAATTTTCGTGGATAGAGAAAAAAAGACGTTTCGTGGTATACGTAAATTCGTGGATCGCTGATTACAAAAAAAAAAAAATCAGATACGTAATTCGTGGATTTCTTTTTGATTTTGGAGATCATATAACCTCCTTGGTTTAATCAATAATAAAACAAACAAAAAAGAAGGAATTCATTGAAAAAGTTTTGAATTGTCAAAATCCTCGCTTGGTCATTCTAGGTTTAAGTGTTCATTGAAAACTTCTATTACAATAATGGACAGAGACAACTAATTATTTGTTTGTTTTACAATTTATAAATTCTTGTCGGAATTTTATAAGGCATTCAAAACTCTATGATTGAAAGCTCATTTCCCTAATCACGATATAATTAACAGTCATATAAGTAAAAGGTGTGAAAATAAATGTTCCTGTCATAAACAATATTACCTACGGGCAATATCCCCGTACTTAATCCTATTGATTTTTTATCACCAGTACACAAAACTATGACACGGTAATTAACAACTTGCAGTTATTTTCCATGAACAGTTTTAATCAATTTCAAAAAGTAAATTATTACCGATATTCGATATATTTATTATTGATTTAATCAAAATACTTGTATCTTCTTTCAATAAAAACACGTGTTATGTTACAATGTTTATCGCTAGTCAACACTATACTAGAACAGCATAACATAACCGGAAATAAACATCCGACTCCATACACATTTCTCGGGACTATTCTTCGTTGAATTCTTAAATTCGTGGTTCGCTGTGACCCATGAAACCCACGAAAATTGGTATACCACGAATAAAAATGAATCCACAGTATGTAATATTCTTGACAAGTGTAACATCATTTTGTAACTGGAATATCTGAGCATATATTTCATTGATAGATTTCTGGAAATGTTCATGGATAGGATGTTTAAAATGTTATGATCTATGCACTATATTTTGTGTATCTCAAAAGTAGTGATCAACCTTGGAAGATTTAGACATCAAGTCAGTACCATAGGGTTTTGATTGCATTTCATGTAATCTATACCCAAAAACTGCTTGTTGTGACATAATTTTTTAATGGACTTTTGTTTCTAGATTAAACATATGTGCACTGGTAAAATTATTCCACTATGACTTGTAATCTAAATTCAAAATGTAATCATTCATTCATGCCTAAAATGTAGACTGAGGAGCCATGCCCTTTTCTAATGGACCTTTGTCATTATTTGAGATCCTTACAAAACATGATTTCATTATGAATTGTAATTCCATAGATCTGGACTTTGATGTAAAATTTTAATACAGAATCATTCATGTGTAAAACCTAGGCTGAGGCGACAGTTTTTTCAATGGACCTTCAAAACTATCAACAAATCTCATGTGTACTAGCCTTCATCTAGCAGTTGATAAGATCTGGATCATAATAAAAAAGTTATCATGGAAAAAAAAAAAAAAATCATTTCTTAATTGTTTTGGAAAGGGAAATTAAAAACCAATACCTTGATTTCTCTACTAATTCTTTGGCATATTCCAAGCCTACTCTTAATGACAGAGCAAGTCCTGGTTTATTAGTAACTGCAATAGCCTCAAGATCCTGCAAGAAAAACAAAATTATCTATATAATGTTCAACAACATGTCAGATTTTAAGATATTCTATCATAAGTGCATAAGTCAAGCTAATTCTTTACAATGTACTGTTCTTTTTTTACAACTGTCACTCAAAAGCTGGAGCATAAAGCACTATTCATGTCAGTCACTCTCTTTTTCTGAAGTAGAACAGTTGTCTGGACTATTTTCATTTTGCCTGTAGATGTTGAACAGATTTTTAGCTCACCTGGCTCTTCTAGAGAACCACTAAATGGAATGAAACCAGACATGACATGAATGTTCCTTATGAGGTGCTGACCAGGTGTTGTTACTATGTAGCTGATCCATCATCCAAGATGGCCACCAGCTGGGGACTTCGTTTAACATAGGACCCTATGGACAATACATACAAATGTCTTCTTCTAGAGAACCACTGAATGGAATGAAACCAAACATGGCATGAATGTTCCTTATGAGGTGCTGACCAAGTGTTGTTACTTTGAAGCCGATCCATCATCCAAGATGGCCACCAAAGAGGGACTTAGTTTAACATAGGACCCTATGGTAGATACATACAAATGTCTTCTTTTAGAGAACCATTGAATGGAATGAAATAAAACATGGCATGAATGTTCCTTATGAGGTGCTGACCAAGTGTTGTAACTTTGTAGGCGATCCATCATCCAAGATGGCCGCCAGCGGGGGACTTAGTTTAACATAGGACCCTATGGGAAATACATCAAATATTTTCTTTTAGAGAACCACTGAATGGAATGAAACCAAACATGGCATGAATTTTCCTAATGAGGTGCTGACCAAGTGTTGTTACTTTGTAGCCAATCAATCATCCAAGATGGCTGCCAACGGGGAACTTAGTTTAACAAAGGACCCTATGTGAAATACATACAAAAGTCTTCTTTTGAAGAACCGCTGAATGGAATGAAACCAAGCATGGTAGAAATGTTCCTTATGAGGTGCTAACCAAGTGTTGTTATTTTGTAGCAAATCCATCAACCAAGATGGCTGCCAATGGGGGACTTAGTTTAACAAAGGACCCTATGGGAAATATATACAAATTTTTTCTTCTAGAAAACCACTTAATGGATTGAAACCAAACATTGTATGAATGTTTCTTTTGAGGTGCTGACCAAGTGTTGTTACTTTGTAGCTGATTTGTCATTGTCCTTATAAAGTCATTTTCTACAATTTCAATGAATTTATTGGTAATTTCTGTAAACTTTACAAAAGTCTTCTGCTTTTGATTAAATTACGGGACCAATGTTAAACCAAATTTGGCCTCAATCATTATTAGGGTATCTGTTATCATTTTAATCTATTTTTACAAGATTTCCAAAACCAAAGTAGAATCAGGTGAGCGACACAGGCTCTTGAGAGTCTCTAGTTAGGTTACAATTTCCCTTTTCAGTTTGAATCACCTTTTTGCGCAGAATTATAGTCCTCAGTAATTGGGCAGCAGGTAGGGAATTCATATCATTCCATCACATCTAGTTTCATAAATAAATGACAGTCCAAAGAAAACAAGACATTTTATATATGTTGGATGAAAATATCAGTGCCAATACAAAAGTAACAAAAGAAAGTTTTAATAGTACTGAGTTTTACAGCTACTAAATCAGTGTAGAATTAATAAATACTAACTGAAAGCATTTTTAATGTACCTTTCTTATACTAGACAGAAAAGAATAAAGTTACAAAGGCATTAGATTGGACATGCTAAATGTTTCACTTGCTTGATTTAAATGAATAATATGTTGAAAATCTTGGGAGATCAAGGTCTTACTGTAACTGTTGTTCAAATGTTTTAGTTTTGTATTCCACTGTAAGTACAGGGCAAATTATGAGGCTTTGTTAAATTTCTTTGGTCACAAAAGTCTGCAATTTTTTTTATGTGTTCCTCAATGCACTGATGTAGCATTATTTACATCCTCTAAAGAACTCCACTCAAACAGGCACTAAGGCCATCTTGAATTTGCAATGAGGTGAGGTTTTGCTTCCTAATGAAGAACTTAAAGTGACTTTATGATGAAGTTAAGAAATAAAAGTGTTGTTCCTTTGCTTTGTGTTTTGTGACCTGTGTGTAGGTGGCATGAATAAAAACACCATATCCCTTTCATTTCATTATGTTATGGTATAATATTAAAAAATTAAAATGTGATTTTATTTATAGTAATATTTATCCTTACATTTAGACTAGATGGTTAAATACTCAACATATTGTAAAGAGACCCTGTCTATTGTTGAATATTGAATGTTGACTTCTAAATGTCTTTTGGTTATTGGTATCATTGGGTTACTGTCACATTGACATATATCCCACATCTCCTTTTATTCATGTATGTTAGCTTGGCCACATATTAAGAGTTAAAGAGTGTAGGAGTCAAGAGTTGTTTTGAACAGTAAACACTGAATTATGACCCTTGTATTGAACATCAAACCTTTTATTACATATGTACATTGTAGGTTGGAACATCAATTTAGATTTTATATTAACCAAACATGATCAACAAACCTTAAGTCACTACTGTGTGATTGGTTCAATTTACCTGCAATACAACATTGGCAGACTTCAAAGCCTCCTGAACAACTGTGTCAATATTTTCCCTGTGTAAATCCTGTGCCACTGAAGGTATTATTCCACCATGACTATCAAGAAGAAAATCTTCATTAAATGATTATGTTCATATATAATTTGTAAAAGTAAATCATGCATTTCTTTTCTAACATTATAACTTTTAACTGATGTAAATAATGAATTCATTTTTGACCCATTACTTGCAATAGAGCAAAAAACATAAGTTTTGCATTTATTCATTTATTGAATTATTTATTGAATATCTTTGAACACCACTAGTACTGGAGCAGAAATAACTACATACATGTATATATACCAATTTCTAGTTAGTCCACCACTGAAATAATAATAATAAATGTTCCTGTATTTTTATTGGCATCACAACAGACAAAATTTGACATTACAGACCAAAAGTGATTGTTTTGTTGATGACATAAGGTAAATTGGTGCAAAAATGAGGTCATTCACTCAGTAAAATTCCAGAAAATCCAAATTGATATATAAAAGGTGAAAGTGATTTTTTACACATGTAATATCTAGTTAATGTGTCATTCATTCCAATCTGATAATAATAAGGACTGCTAACTCAACATGAAGTTTTGTATGTGAGTCAAGTATGCTCCCTTAAATTTAATAATCAACCAAGGCCACACTTGTGTAATCACAACATGTTTCAAACCCTAAAACTAATCTTCGATGTTTACCAAGATTCTTAAAAAAAAAATCACTAATTTGCATTATCACGTAATTTTTAAGCATCACAGCAGAAAAATAAGGCCAACTGGCACAAAATGAGGTCAGTTGCAGTAAAATAGCACGAAATAAAAGAAAAAATGCATTAATTAGCATGCCACATTGAAAACTTTAAATGCTGTTACAATATTGTGAAGTATAAAACATATTCCTTTTGACTCAAATAGCACAAACTCAAAATACGTGTATTACTAATCCAAATAATTATGACTTCTTGAGAGGTTTCATTTTTTGCTATGATGATTCCTACTCATAGTTATTTGGTTATGGTTCCATAGCTATTGCCAAAGATATTAGAAAATACTTTTAGAACATGGTAATATTCCAATGGTGCTGACTACGATTACATTGAAAATGTAACAATAAGGGACTAATTACCAGAATGCAAGGTTGGAAATTGATAAATTACAAGCATAGGTTGCATAACAATAACGTTTGTGTCTACCGTTACATTACGTCAATGCATTTCAATGTAGGTAATATCATTAACATATAATTTGAAAATCCATTTGTTCTAAATTAATTCAATACATGTGATTCAATGTTTGAAATTTTTCACCCAAGAAAAAATGGTAATGGGAATAACTTCTTCCATTGTTCAAAGTATCCGGGATATAAGTGACAGTAAGGCCAAGGGTTGAAAAACTCATCAGATACCAGACTCATTTGATTCTGTGACACTCGAATCAAAAAAATTAAAAAGCCAAATAAAGTAGGAAGTTAAAAGTATTAAGAAAAAAATATTCTGTAAGTGCAATACATAGAGGAGATCCCTATTCTTCTAAACATCCAACCATTGAACTTTATTCTTTGCCTTTGACACTACTAAATTAAATTTAAACAGTAGTATTATCTTGATGAACATTAAAACAATTAATACTTTAAAAAAACTATTTAAACATTATTTATTGAAATGTAAGAATTATTATAATATTAAATAATTATGATAACCAAGCATATCGGAGAATTTAGCAACAAGACTATATATATGCTGTTTAATAGCCCGGGGTACACTATTTTATACAGGTATGCATAATTTATCATACTAATGTTCCCGCCAACATTCATGACATTATTGTTTATTTACATAATACTCAATTTTTTTTTACCTAGGTCATTTACCAATCCAGTGAATGAGTTGCAATGCATGATGGACTACTACCTGTTTCCAATATACAGAGAACACATGTGTCCCAGTCTATTTATCCATTTATATAACAAATTATTCAGGATGGTAAATTAGACTTATTTTAATGAAATTACTTATATAGCAGTTCAAGTTAAAAAGTCAACATCTTTCTTTAATCTCTGACTCATGATGCTTTGCAGCTTGTAATTCTTCATGTCAAGTATGCTTTCTGTGCCATATTCTCTTCCCATTGATTATAAAAGAGTATTGTTTTTGTAAAGACATAACTATACATTATTTGAAAATTCCTTATACAAATAGTATCATGTAACCAATTAATCTAACTTAAGTTTTAAAGAGCTCAAAGGAAATTTACTGTCCAATAGACACTTTACTATCAATTCCACATGAAATGAATGCACAAGTATACTTGTAACAATAGACAAAGCCTATCCTTTCTAACTTTGACCATGTTTGACAAGACGAATAAGAAGTTGAATGCTGAAGCCAGTGAATTTTTTTTAAAATCTGAGCATCCAAATTGAAGATTATGCTACAAATGTATATAGACATTACATGTGTTACAGTAGATGAACAAAATAATCAAACATGAGATTCCCGGAAACAATACAAAATGACACTTTTCAACCAAATTTCATATGTTTTTAAGTGATTGTAAACTCATTGTGTCATTTGGCAAATTTCTTAGGGGCATGTTTACATTTTGCATTTTGGAAAGTACAATGCAATGTGTTCTGACATCAGACAACCTGTTAAAGTTGTAATAAATTAACAAAATCGAAATATAACCATAGACTCTGAGATGAAGAACAGAAATATAAGCACTGTTCCTTTGCTTTTTGTGTTTTTGCTGTGCATGAACTGATTTTGTGTCATAGATGGATATCCCATATCCTTTGTTTTTCTATTATAGACACAAATATTATTGTTTCATCCCTTATTAATCTGTTCCCAACCGGACCTTGCATTTCGGCAATTGGTATCGGGTCAATGTTCACACCCATAACAGATTCATTTTTATTCAAATACAGGTTGAATTATTAGATGTTTTTTGATACATATATTTAAATATTTATAGTGAATAAAAATTCGTGAATTGGTTTTATTGTTATGTGTTCAAAAATCTTGATTGTTGTTATAACTAGCTTTGGTGTAGTTACCTTGATCTTTTTGATTTCTAATAGTGCATGCTTTGAATGATTGTGTGAGCTTAACATTTATTATTCAAATTGTTAATGTTCATGATTGCTTCAAGCTTTTCTGAACATGAAAATAAATGCTCTGTGGATTCAAACCCTGAATTAATAGTCTCAGAATGTTTAATTGAAAGTGTCATGCATCATCAAACATATAAATGGAACGTATAGCTGAGATGCAACACCATCGAGTTTGATAGTAGTTCCGTATCTTCCCCCTTTCTTTTACAAATCTTAAGTGAATGAACTTGGCCTTTGATCATCATGACATTATTCATTTCGTCAAAATAATTCTCAAAAACACTAAAAGAAACCTGTTTACATTTTTAGAATGTCACTTTATTTTCAAACAGTTAAAAAAAAGGCAGTGTCTGTGTGTACCCACATGCGGGTACATTCCCCGGTACAAATAGTCAAATTGCCATTCATAGGCTACGCGTACCCACATCCGGTTTTATAATAAAATGCCATCGGATCGGGAATGAAACATGAAATTATACGGAATTTGTCACAATTAGTGAATAAATTGATTAAAACTACTCAGAATTTTTATAAATATTTATATATAGGTAAGTGAACAGTTTTTCTCAGTTAATAAATATTCTTAAAATGGAAGAGACTGATATACATGTGAGGAAGACATTTCAAAGTTATCATGAATTGGAACAATTTGTTCAGAACTATCAGTCGATTAATTTTATACAATTGTATAAAAGAAACTCGGAGTCAATTGCAGCTGCAGAGAAAAAAAGAACTGGAAACACAAAAATTAAAGAGGAATTAAAGTTTATCAGAATAAATTTTTCCTGTATTCACGGTGGCAAAAAATTCCAAACAAGTTCGACAGGAAAAAGACCTAATACAAGGTATTTGTTTTAAATTGTAGTTTTAAATCGAATTTGCCATGTTTCATTCATTAGTCAAGTTTATTTTTTTTTATGTCGAATACTTCTAGTTTTTCTATTGTAAACCGTTCATGATATTAAGGATATGTCTACTTTCGGTACTTTCCAAATGGAATGTCCTTTCCGTTTTAAACTTGGCGTAACTAAAGATGGACAAAACCTTATTGTGAGGGAATCACACAGTTCTCACAATCATGTTTATTTAACCATCTTTCTAGACAAAGGAAACTAGATGACCATACACTAGAAGGTGTAATTATATATGCAAATATATATATGTATAATATAAAAGTATTAATTTTTATCATGTTTTTCTTTTACAGGGACTGTACAGTTTCATTTTCCATCAGTGTGCATTTAATTTGCAATGTTTATTATGTATCATTATCTAATAAATACTATTTGTAATTTTATTTTTCATACTATTCACTTGTTCTACACGAAATCCCCATATTATCGATAATTTCCGTATATATTTCACGTTTCATTCTAATGTGAACATGATTTTGGGCAAACTGATACGGATTCTCGGCAATCAGTCTTAAACATGAACAATATTTTTTCGACATAATCGTAGCCATATCATGCATCATACATCTTATCACTATTTGTCCGCCATTACTGGACATCACAAAAGTTCCCGTAAAATTTGGAATGGAAAAGTGATTGTTGTATGACGTCAAAAGTTCAAGCGGACAGATTCTCGGGTCAAGCGGGAATAGCGATAAGGTGTATTGTGCCATATTTTGCGATTGTCCCTATTTGATAACCATAAGGACTGCTTACTCCACATGAACTTTTGTTTGGGAGTTCAGTGCATCCCCAAGTATGTTTCCTTTATCATCAACCACGGCAGCACCCGTGTCATCACAACTTGTTTCAATCCCAAGAACTAATCTTGGATGTGTTCCAACCTTCCTAAGGGAAATAACTCGAACACCTGCATCAAGTGTTTTGTTTTTCTTCGCATTTCCTATAATATTTCTGAGATATGTTAGTCTACTGAATGTAAACATTTTATGGAAATAATCTGGAATAATTATCTAGTGCTGTCTAAATAATTTCATGCCGGTTTCGGTTCATGGGCGCAGACATCTTGGAAATCTGAAATTGTGACCCGTGAGGGATTTACGTAAAGAAGAAGAGGGGAAGAATAAGATAAATAAAAGAACATGAAAACTAATAACAAATAAATTAAACACTTTAAACATTGTTTCAATATTGTGAATTGATAAAACATATTCCTTTTACTATTATAATCATGATTTTTGCTACAAAAAAGTTGTTAAATTGAAAATTTCCTTTTGATTCTCACTGTTGAACTTCCGGTTCCGTGGCAATTGCATCATGACGAAATCTCTATGAAACAACTATTTTCTTGTGTCTTTAAGATAAGCAGGAGGTTTACTGGCGCGATTTTAGGAGATCTTAATAGACGCACCATACATCTAAGTGTTCCGTGCATTTGTAATTCTAAAAATCAGAAGAAGCTATTTGGGAAAAAGTTACAGCATATGGTACAGATGATGGCACTGACAGATCCAGAAATTGAGAAAATTTTGCAGCCTTTTAGACAGCAAGTTAAAGAACAGGTGACAAATCACCTTTCTCTCATCACTTGTTTCTTTTTTTTCAAATTGTTCAGCATGGACTTGTTTACCATTATTATATTGAAAATTTTGGTTCACACAGAGTCAGAGAGTGCATAACCATGATAACTTTGCATTTAACACATGTAAAAATTATATATCATTGAGAGATATTTTGGGTACAAGTCAAATCAACACCTGGTGAAAGTAGCATAAAGTCTCCTGCATCAATTGATTGTTTATTTAGAAACAATTTTAGGTATATTTTTACACAACCAGAAAATTTTTGCAGTCGTATAATGTTTATTGTTATGACTTGGTTAATGTTGTCGTCAGAAGACATTTGGTTTCTAGACAGTAACTTGAGTATAAGTGTATGGATCTCTAGGAAATTGTACCACATAGTTCCATACCACAAAAAAAGTAAAAATAACAAAAATACCAAACTCCAAGGAAAATTGAAACCAAAATTAAACTTTTTTGTTGATTTCAACAAAAATTGTAATCTTGGGGTTCTTTGATATGCTGAATCTAACCGTGTATTTAAATTTTTGATTTCTGGGCCCTGTTTTCAAATTTGTTCACATTAAGGTCCAAATGGCAAATGAATGGTCCAAAATAAAACTTTGATTTCAACAAAAATTAATATACATGTATGGGTTTTTTTGATATGCTGAATCTAAGCATGTATTTAGATTTTGGATATTAGACCATAATAGGTAAATTTCCAATATCAAATTTTTTTAAGTTCTTTAAAAGACCTCATTCATTAAGTGTCAGAAACCTATGCTTTGTCAAATATTTAATCACAATCCAAATTCAGAGCCGCGTTGCACAATTAATAGAAATTGTAAACAGAGTAATATAGTTTGAAATTTACATAGATATATGAAGATGTGGTATGAGTGCCAATGAGACAACTCTCCATCTAAGTCAAAATTTATAAAAGTAAACCATTATCATGATTATAGCTCAAAGTACGGTCTTCAACACGGAGCCTTGGCTCACACTGAACAGCAAGCTTTAAAGGGCCCCAAAAATTACTAGTGTAAAACCATTCAAACAGGAAAACCAACGGTCTAATCTATATAAAAAATTCATAAGGGTTAGCGGAACCCAGTGTCTCGCCTACTTTTGCTGTTAGTCGCAGGCTCAACAAATATGAGGAAAAAATTATTAAAAATTTTCCTCTAGATACTATCTTTTGATTATAAGAAGTTCTGATCAAGTTTGGTAAAAATCAAAGAAGGTTTATGAATCTAATAAATGTTTTAAAAACTTTAACTGCAGACTGTACATAATGTTAACTGGAATAAAACTAAGTCCATTTATAAGTAAAATACGGATAAACAGGATTTTTTTTTTAACAAAATTTACTTTTGAATACTATCTAATGATCACAAACAAGCTTCTATCCAAGTGTGGTACAAATCCAGGATAGTTTAAGAAAGTTATTAAAATTTGAAAACTTTAACCACAGAGTGAATGTTATGATAACTGGCAGAAAAACTAAGTCCATATATGAGTAAAATACAGATAAACAGGATTTTTGTTTTACAAAATTTTCTTCTGGATACTATCTTATGATTATAAACAAGCTTCTGTCCAAGTTTGGTACAAATCTAGGATAGTTTAAGAAAGTTATTAAAATTTGAAAAACTTTAACCACAGAGTGAATGTAATGTTAACTGGCAGAAAAACTAAGTCCATATATGAGTAAAATACAGATAAACAGGATTTTTGTTTTACAAAATTTTCTTCTGGATACTATCTTATGATTATAAACAAGCTTCTGTCCAAGTTTGGTACAAATCTAGGATAGTTTAAGAAAGTTATTAAAATTTGAAAAACTTTAACCACAGAGTGAATGTAATGTTAACTGGCAGAAAAACTAAGTCCATTTATGAGTAATATACGGATAAACAGGATTTTTTTTGGTACAAAATTTACTTCTGGATACTATCTTATATTCATAAACAAGCTTCTGTCAAAGTTTGGTTGAAATGCAGGATAGTTTAAGAAAGTTATTAAAATTTGAAAAACTTTAACCACAGAGTGAATATTTGTGGACGCTGCCGCCGCCGACACCTATGACGCCGCCAACACCGATGACGCCGACAGAATGTAGGATCGCTATGTCTCGCTTTTGCGACAAAAGTCACAGGCTCGATAAAAACGAGAAACGAGAAACACTTATGAACCACATCAACAAACGACAACTACTGAACATCAGATATCTGACTGAGGACAGGTGCAAACAATTGCAGCAGGGTTTAACGTTTTAATGGTACCAAACCTTCACTCTTATCTGAAACAATAGTGTAACATCACAACATAGAAAGACACACTATAAAATATCAATTGAACTGGCTTAACTCAATCAAAAGACATATTAACACCAGTGAACATACACTGAACAAAATAAATTTGATCTATGATACAATGTAAATACAAAATAAATAAACTAAGGGAAGAATAATAAAAGTAACATGTTATACCGCTGTGAAATGTTAAACAAATTAAGAAAAACAATATGCTTGAACAAAAATATCAGCCATTTGCAATTACTTTAAACAGTTCATTATTAGATATTTTGAAAAATAATTAAAGATAAGTTTTACAGATTATTTAAAGACATTCTATTAAATTAAATGATGAATAATATATTGGAAGTTGTTTTATTTTAATTTTTTTTTTAAGAGCTTCATGGTAGGTTTGTTTGTTATTCTGTATAAATTAATTTTCAGAATGCTATATATCATTTTTTTATGAAGCCAACCCCTTTAAAAACTTAGCTGAAATTGTCCATTAACATGATTAATGAATAGATTAATTAAATTCTTGGTGTACCTAGATATGCTGAATCTAACCGTGTATTTTTCAGTTCTTTGACCACATTCATTCTGTGTCAGAAACCTATGCTGTGTCAAATATTTAATCACAATCCAAATTCAGAGCTGTATCAAGCTTGAATGTAGTGTCCATACATGTCCAAACTGAAAAGGGTTTGACGTCTGCAGTCGTATCAAGCTGCGCCCCACAGAGCATTTTATATTTCTATTAAATTAACAGAAAAACCACTCCTCACTAAATTATTATTTCAGTATTCATATAAAACATGTATTTTATGTCATAACATATTTTTTTCATGATAAGAATATTTATTTTGACATGTTTGAAGGAGTGTAGATTGAAATTTAAGTTTTAGTCTAGACTGCCTACATGTGGGGGATAATAATAATAAGAAAGGAGAAAATGCAGTGTAATTTTATGTGTTGGTATTAAGTATTATTACAATGAGAACTGTAAAAATGCATATACAATGTCATGTAATTATGTTTTTTTTTATACATACTCACAAAATGCTTACATAAAGAAGGAAGTTCATGAAGAGCTGTAATTGACCTAAGATTTTAAAGTTTTTTAATCAGACCAAAATGCTAGAAATAGTTAATTTACTATTAATACAAAATAACTCCTTTTTGGCACCGCACATTGAAAATTACAGGATATTGACCCCTTAGTTATGCCTTATTTGTGTTGAACACAACTTCTGTTTTGGTCCATATTTATAAAAATTTATTACAGGTTTAGCAAAATAAACTTTGGTCGCCACCCCTGATTAAAAAAAATGTGTGTCTTATCTGTCTATGGATTCAACAACCACCTTGGCATCTTTTGGATCGTAGGTTTCGACCAATGTTCCTTATAGTTTTTTTAATGAATTATGAAAAGGAAACAATTTTCACTAAATTGATAAAAGAAAATTTTTTTTGTTTTGTTTAAAGATGACTTATTTTATCTCAAATAAATTGTGCTTAAAAATTTAGTAATCATTGCAATAAACACATCCGATATATCAGTCAGGGGTACTACTTGTACAAGTTATTTTTATTTCCTTGAAGAAGTAAATAATAATATACTTAATGTACTTTCACTGTACTACAATCTGTCGATACTTATAGTTTGGCATTGCACAAGGTCATGTTTTTCTCTGACTGTTAATGGCGTCTTTACACTTAATCCATTGGATGTTGGATGTGTACTGATTGATATTTTAGTCTAAGATACATGATTTTTTTCATTAGTCGTTATTGGCTTTGAACTAGCTGTCAGTAACTGCGAGTACTCTCAGATCTGTACTAAGTGTCGTTTTGTTTTTGAGATGTATAAGTACCTGTCCCTGTCCACTTTGTGCTTTTGTTAGATGTATTTCTATGTGTATCCATCTGATGAGTTAAGCCTTTTTCAACTGATTTTTATACGACCACAAAAAATTTTGCGGTTGTATATTGGTATCATGCCGTTGTCGTCGTCGTCATATGTAAATAGAAATCTATGAAATTTTAACACAAGGTTCATAACCACAAAAGGAAGGTTGGGATTGATTTTGGGGGTTATGGTCCCAACAGTTTAGGAATTAGGGGCCAAAAAGGGGCTCAAATAAGCATTTTTCTTGTTTCCAGACAATAACTTGTAGATAGGTGTATGGATCTCTCTGAAATTAGACCACAAGTTTCCATACCACAAAGGGATGGTTAGGATTGGCTATGGTTGGGGGGGGGGGGGGGTGTTATGGC